TAAATAAAACATCAGTTAGCAGAAATGTCATTAACATCTCAGACTCATCAAAATTTGTGAATCATAAGTTATAAGTTCTTGGTTACATATTCCTTCAAAAGATTTTGGTTATGTAACTAATGACAGTATCTTAACAAACTGCTCAAAAATTATTTTAATTTTATGTTCACTTGTAATGAACATTCCCTTTGTGTTTCATGCAAAGAAGTCACGAGTGTTTATTTTTGGTAAGCTCCACTAAGTGTATTAAATATCAATAATATGATTTATTTAAAATTTGACATACCATACCAGTAGTCTTATCTCAAAATCTAAAGGAGTAAAGATTTTCTTTTTGCTGTGAATAAAGTTGTCACCAAGATATATTTGCCGATATAAACTAAAACATATACGTATACCACTTAATTTACATTTAAATCCACTGAGAACAGGAATAACTGGTGTATAAAAATAATCCAGTCATTTAACAATTTGCAGAAAAAAATTGTCTACTGTATTCTAGGTTATATCCATTCAATAGTTTCAAATAGTTTGAAATCTAGGTTTTATTATAAAGTACATAAACCAAATTTCATTTTGTAAATAGTATTCTGACATATCATTACTTTTGACATGGAGCAATTTTCAGGTACCCATAAAATCTTAACCAATGATATGGTTAAATCACCTTGATGAGAATACCTGGTCTGACTCAGTGATAAAGAAAATTAAATTGAACATGTAGGGCAAGGTAAAGGAATGAGTAAAGAGAAGGTGTGTTGGGGGCACATACCCTCATGGTGTGACATGTCTGGGAGGGCAGCAGGTTGGAAAAGGATGATAGGTAACTGGTCATGTAGCTGCTTGGCTGACATCTCCGCCAAGCAATGTTGTTCACGATCCCAGCGTGCACCTTCCAGGAAGAAGCCCTGCACAAGAGCACATTGGTATTAAGGGGCTGCATGTTGGGTGTAGAAAACTCTTCTGCCATACTGCTTTGTCTGTCATACTGGAATGACATGGGTATAACCCAATTGACTGTTTGACATATCATGCATACTGATCTTGGTTATTTTACCTGACCTATAATATACCTGCCCAGGCAACCTCACTTGCCTGGTATTCTAACAAAGATGCCCTCACTTGTCTTTGTCCTGCTTATTAGGTGTATAGCTTAATTATCTAAATCCTCTCCCAGCTTTGCGCAGTGGCAATATCGTAACCAATGAGTTTTATCCAAGGTGTGTTACTGTGTAAAGCTCGACTATCTGCTAATACTATTGGGAAAAATTTATCTAGCAATCAACCCTACCCTTATTATTAAGAGCCCAACCCCTGAACCCCTACTTATTCTATTCTAATATTATTTTCTAATCTATCATCCTACTAACCCATGTCTAGGTGCCTCCCTGTGCTTGGCGAGGGATGACCTGGTAGATGACGTCATCAGATTCATGACTTTGGCTCTGCGAGTCATTCTCGTTGTCTTCCTTTTCCTGCTGTTCAGTATGGACTTTCACCGTCTGGAAAGTGAAGAAAAAAAATTGTTGGCCTACATAAAAGGTAACGGGTAGTGAGGGATGGGGTTGAAGACCAGATCACAGCTGAACCGAGTCACTAATCAAGGCACATTTAACTTATTTTACTTTTATCCTCTTCACCACTGATTGGCTCGTTAGCCGCTTGGGTGATCGGTCACGTCTCTGTTACTTTCCCTTTTCTTTTATCCTCTTCACCACTGATCGGCTCGTTAGCCGCTTTGGCGATCGGTCACGTCTCTGTTACGCACTGTTGGCAAGTACTGGGCATGCACCAGCCCCTGAATGTACCTGAACCTGCTCCAGTGTTGGTCAAGTCTTGTCTAGAAAGAGCTCACACTCTGTGCCATCACAACACTTTCTGGTAGATTGTTCCAAGAGTTCACAACTCTCACAACGAAAAAGTTTGCCCTCACAGTTTTCTGGACTTGCGGCTTCTTCAATCTTGAGCTGTGACCCCTTGTGAACCGATCTGCCAGCTCCAAGTAAGGACACTCGACTTAGTGCCCCCTGAGATGTTTATACACCTCAATTAGGTCCCCCCTTGCCCGTCTGTAGTATAAGCTAGGCAGTTCAGGCGCTCCAATCACTCAGGGTAGCTGAGGTGCCGAAGTGCAGGCACCAGTCTGGTGGCCCTCCTTTAAACATTTTCAATCAACTGACAGTCCATAGCATATCTTGGGGACCAGACGGGGTGACAGTACTCCAGATGGGGAAGCACTTCACTCTTGAATATCGTTACGAGGGACGGACCGTCTAGATATCTTAACGACCTTCTTATAAGATCCAATAATTTATTTGCCTGATTTACCTTCTTCTCGCAATGGCCCGAGAACTTTAGCTCATTGTCAACATACACACCTAGGTCCTTCTCACATTCAGTCTCAAATAGTGCAGTTTCTTCATCCCGTTGGGACATATGATACGCCTCCTTACCGTTGGTATGCCCCAGGTGCATCCTCTTACACTTCGTGACATTGAATTTCAGCAGCCATTTCTTCAACCATTCTCGGAGCCCACAGAGGTCCTTCTGCAGCTCTTCACAGTCTGCTTGGTTCTTGCTTTCCTGAAATAACTTGGCGTCATCGGCAAACATTTGTATGTAGGAGTGTACAATGTCAGGCATGTCATTTATGAAACAAACAACAGCAGGCCCAGTACACTGCCCTGTGGTACCCCACTTGTGACAGGTACAGATGATGATTTCGTGCCATTAATCACCACACATTGCTTGCGGTCATGTAGAAGGTCATCTATCTACACTAGGACATTTCCCAGAATTCCGTACCCTTCCAGTTTGATTTTCAGCCTTAATAAATTATAATTTCTGTAAAACATTTTTTGTTCTATATCACAATTTTTGTGTTGAAATTTTTTATAATTTATCCCAGGGTTTCAATTGTTTTCTTATTTTGACAACACAACATACATACCGTATATCACGGCCTATAAGACGAAATTTGAACATTAAAAAAATCTGCCCAAAGTTAGGGGGTCGTCTAAACCACCAAGTTTAAAATTCTTACCTCTTAAATATTGTGGTTTAGTGTGTCAAGAGTGGTGATGGAAACATCGTAAGCCACTCACAAGGTCTTACCACTAATTATTTTATACTGAAACTTACGTTTGGCAAGCTGGATTCAAATTAAGATTACCGGTATATTAAAATAATAAAAATGTATTATAAACCTGTCTAACATACCGTAAAAGAGATTTATACCCCTGTAATAAACACAGCTATCATCACACACCCCTCCCCACGCCCCCCCCCATTTGCCAGTGAGGAGACAAGAAAGGAAAAGTGCATTAATTCTTGAAACTATCGACGGTTAATTACAGACGCTCAAGTGACGTCACTAGTGTTTACACTACACCAGCTGGTAATATTTGATGCCATTACTTGAAGTGAATTGGCCTTATTTTAAGTAACTAACTATAAATAAATACAAAAATTAAAAAAAAAGATCAAAACTGAGAAATAATATACTGTATGTATGTTGTGTTGTCAAAGTAAGAGGAACAATTGTGTAAGTACGTAATATTTTTTCACTCAAATCCTAATGAAACACTACTGGAGAACATTCCTTTGTCGCAAAACAGTTTATAAATTAAAGAAAATAATTACAGTGTGTTTAATATATTACAGTATATTATAAATAAATAAATAAAACAAATAATTCGGTAAATTTATTTAAAGTAAATGGAAAATAAGCAAACATGTTATTTACCAAGACCCTTCCGTCTGGCTCAGGGTGAGATGGAGGGGAGATAAAGAAGGCTATTTATAGCCCATCAGAAGTGGCTAGTACCCTAATGCACCATAAATAATTCATTGAACATTCATTTTTTGTACATAGTATATTCAGTGTATATATATATATATATATATATATATATATATATATATATATATATATATATATATATATATATATATATATATATATATATATATATATATATATATATATATATATATATATATATTTGTGTAATAAATGTATGTAGTAAGTACATACTGGTAACCTTTTTCACTCAAATCCTAATGAAACATCACAATTAGAATACGGTGGTTGCTGTTGAACTACATGTTGTATAAATAGTCACACCACCGAGACGAGGGAACACTCCCACCACGCTTCAGTGACGTCACTAGTGTTTACACTACACCAGCGAGTATAATTTGATGACATTACTTGAAGTGAATTGGCCTTATTTTAAAAAATCAAGGATGGTTGGTAAAGGACTACTGAGTCAGTGGGTAAGTGTCACATTTGGGGTACTGGTCTTATACAGCAAATAGAGCTCAAAAGCTACTTTTTAAATGGAAATTTGGGGGGGGCGTCTTATGCACCCCGCCGCCTTATAGGCCGTGATATACGGTATATCATTTCTCACTCAATATTTTTTTAATTATTTTTATTTTTTTATTTATGGTTCTATTATTATTACAGTATTTATAATTTTTATTATTATTAATTTATTATATCCCTCCCCCCCCCCCAGGCCTTGATGTGGGTCATTAAAAATTACCTGTGCCCGGGTGGGCAAATGACCATAAAAAAAAACTTTTTTTTTCTAAAAAAGCAGTTTTTGTGATATAGTCCAGAATGCAACATCTAGCTTTATACCTACGTATGTTAATGCCTAGCAATAACTCGCCAAGCCAACATATAGGCAATTAAAACAAATAATAATTACTTAATACATAATATTAGGACACGTCGCTACCTGGCATTTAATTGCAGGTTATATCCCAAATATAGTGGTCATAATTTACAAAATGAGTACTATGGGCGAATTTCCGCAACTTGAGTTTCTGTAACGTAAGAGATACCTGTAAAATAACTATGTAACTTGAACCAGGTCTTAAACTAACCAGGGTTTTAAATATGAATCATCGTAATTCAAGGCTTTCCTTTACCCTGAAATTTATTTTATTTTTTTGAGCACTCCGAGAAAAATCTCTCCGTTCTGGGCATTCAAACAAATTTCCGAAAAATTGCATCGTGCATCGGCATGTGCCGAGCGTATGGGTGGGTAGACTCAAAATGTTCGTGAGCTATGATTGGCTACTACTCTGTACCTGTACTGTCATATGACTGCATGGGATGCCTAAAATTGGCTGATGTATCTTGCAGTCTATCTCCTCAAACTCTAGCATCATGAGAGTAGTAGCTTGTTTGCTCACAAACTGTGTTGTGCAGTACTGTACCAGCATATAATCAGCCAAGACTACCATTTAAATAGTGTTAATTAAGATGTAAAAAGTAATTATATTCATGCACACTGTAAAGTACAGTACTGTACATTCAGAAAGTGAAAATACCATATGTACAGTAGTACATATAGCAGAGTGGTCAGTGTATGCTAGTATGTAGAGAGTGTATGTACAGTACAGCAAACAGTATGTACAATCCCTCCTTCATGTAGGGAAAGGAGAATGACATTTAGCAACACCTGCTACAGGCAGGTCATCCTATATGATCATTTCACCATTTGGCTTGCTTAAGACAACGAAATCTGCTATTAAATGCCAGGTAGCGACGTGTCCTCCTAATATTACGTATTTAAGTAATTATTAGATGTTTTAATTGCCTGTATGTTGGCCTGGTGAGTTAATGCTAGGCATTTACATACTTAGGTTTTTAGAAAAAAAATTGCTTTATTTTGCAGGGTCAGGTGTGTGTGTGTGAGTAGTAATACGTAGTCAGATGCGCTAGTGCCAGTTCATAATGTAAATAATGTTAGTGTGAAGCAATAAAACTGTATCTCTAATCACTGTTATGAATAAATTAGACATACATAAGTTAAAAAAGTGATAAAATTAGGTGAGTGGAACAGTGAAGATATAAATCCACGAGTAGAAAACATGACGATGTAGCAACATGGTAATTTATGCCACACAGCCACAAACCCTATGCTTCATACTTCCCATCCTGCAAACTCCAAAATGGTGAGTACAGCCAAAATTAGTGTTGTTCTAAAGTTTCATATACCAAATTGCATCTTTTAAGTCCTCCCCCAAATTTTTAGACGACCAGGGGTGACATTTAACATTCCAGAACCCGACCGAGTATGGATCAAGTGTTAATGTGTGTATCATTACCGGGTAAGTGTTTTGGAATGCTTACTATAAAATGTGTGATATCTCTGTAGGTATTTTGTAGCAAAAAACATATGATACTGAAATCTTAGTGCTTCAGTGTTATGTTCATACCATTGAGTGTTTTGGATTGATTACAGTCCAGTTAGTAACCAGAAAAGGGTTCAGGTTCCAACAAAACTAAAGCCATAACACATGATTGGTTGGTACCATTTTTCTTAAAATAATGCATTACAATGATATTACTGTACAGGTGCTCCTCTACTTAAGAACATTCAACTTACAAACTTTCAGAGATACAAACACCATCACTGAGGGGGGGTTACCTGCCAGAACAGGTGTTTAATGTGGATGAGACTGGACTATTTTGAAGAAAATTCCAGATAGAACAAACATTACCTAAGAGGAGAAGAGTGAGCCAGGTTTTAAAGCTGTATTAAAGGGTATAGCTGTACTATATATCCATAATATTTTCATTTTTTACAATATATTTGGTATCTACAAGAGCAAAGATGGACTTACAAGCAAGCCTCAGGAACGTAACGCGTTCGTAAGTAGAGGAGTACCTGTAGTATGTAACAGTAAGTGAGGTAGTAAATCTGATGACAAGATAGCCACAATTATTTAGGCTGCTTGTACAGATGGGGCTTGGGGGCTTGTGTAACTTCCAACTTCTATTTATTTTTTCTGGAAGTAGGATGACTCCAGAAGGCTGCACCTTAATTGTTTGAGCCGTGTTAATCACCCTGTTTGAATATAGGGCACACATATGCCATTTTCCTTTGTCTATTAGCATACCTGTCATCTTGGTAAGATTTATCCTTCTCCTTTCATGATCTTGCTACCTTTTCCCTCCTTATTCAGTTCCTTCTTCATCCTTCTACCACTTGTTATCTTGTCATCCTTCCTTATCTATTTCTGCTTGTACCTGGTCTCTCTTCCTTCATTATTTATCAAGCTCTTCCCTCTCTGTTATGTGGTTCTCTTTTGATAACTAATCTTTCATTTCCCATTCTGTCTTCACCATCCTCATAGTCCAATTCTTACCAAGACAGCCTTTTAGTTTACCTGACTCTACTCTTCATCCTTTCCTGAATACTCCCTTCCACTTAATCTGGTTTATCTCTCTCTCTCTCTCTCTCTCTCTCTCTGATTTATTACTTACTTTCCCTTCCTTCCTTCCTTCAATCCCTGTACTAAAGTTATTAGCCTGGCATTTGATATCTGTTTCTGCATATTGTTACCTGGTCACCCTCCTTCTTGAGCTGGGGGGAGTCGTTATCGTAAGGAAGCGATTCGTTGTCTTCGAGGTCAGTGTCGAGGGGGTAGTACTGCCCCTGCACATTTGGCGTGGGCAGCCGCTCGATCACCACTGGCAACTCCACGAAGTTGGGTCTGATACATTCCTGGATGATATCTTCCACCTCCTTTTCCATTACCTGTTGGTGTAAATGCATATGGAGTATACAGTGAGTATGCTGTCAGTACAAAATTATTACACAACCTATGATAAATGAGATTAAATTTTATATAATTTACAGTACTGTACTTTACTGAAGCAGCAATGTACATAAATGACTAGAGAGCATGTCAGTGAGTGATATTTGGGGAAGCATATGCTGCTGCTGCTGCTGGTGGGTGATGCTAGATTTTTAGTGACGGGTAAACCAGATAGAAATTTGGGACTTGATGGTTGAAGGGAAGTACCATAATAGAACACATCTGATACTGTAATAAGAATTCATGAATGACATCCAATTTCTGAGAGAACCTGTGTGTGTGTCTGATCTTGATTCTGGTTTCAGGCATTACATTGAGAAAAGGCTTGAATGAACATATATTGCTATGGTAGCTATATCATCTGCTGTGGTAGGCATACAGGGGCAGTACAGTATTGTCAATATGTGTTTGCTGTAGTAGGCATACAGGGGCAGTATTGTCATCATGTGACAGCTGTAGTAGGCATGCAGGAGCAGTATTGTCATCATGTGACAGCTGTAGTAGGCATGCAGGAGCAGTATTGTCATCATGTGTCTGCCCTTGGTAGGCACTGAGTAATATTGCACTAAAACAAATGTAAGTTTATTTTTACCTCCACCTTTTTGGATAGTTAGATTGGCCACCTTTGTCTTTACCCAATGACAAATGGTGTCAAAGAAGTCAAGAACATGTCACAACAAGGCAAAAATTACCCACATGAGCTGTTCAAATGGACTTGAGACTGGCAAATGGTCTTTAACATTACAAAATGCAAGTCCCTTCACACTTTCCTGGATTCTGTCAATAAGGAGAAAGATCTTGGTGTTGTGATAAGTCATTCAATGAAGGTGGCACAACAAGTAACTCCAGCAGTGAGAAAAGCAAATTGAGATTTGGGAATTATAAATGTACCTTTGAATATACAGGTAATGATAGAAAAATTCTCCTTGAACTATACAACTCTCAAGTATGTCCCAGTCTGGATTACTGCGTACAAGCATGGAAACCCTACCTCCAGAAAGATATAACATCCCTAGAAAAGGTCCAGCACAAGCAATCAAGATGATTCCAGAACTACTGTATATCATCTCGATTATCCAAGTTCAGTAGACCTTTCAGACAAGGCACAATATGGAAGATTTCATTAAAATATACAATATCCTGAAAGGAGATAATTACAAACTCGTCAAACTATCTTGCAGAACAAATATCAGGAAATACTTCTTCACACAGATGGTGAGACCTGGAATGGTCTACCAGCCCAAGCTGTAGAATCATGAACAGAACTGGGCTTCAAATAACCCTCTACAAAATTAACATGAACACTGGAGGGATCCTACACAGGCCACTGGCCTCCTTCCCTTGTCATAGCTACTTCTTGTGGGTGGTCATTAGGTAAATAAGTAAGCGATTTTTCCAATTTAGCATAATATATTTGTTTTAGTTTCATTGTGTATTTTTAAAATTGTTGTTATTATAACTGCATTTAACTTCACTACACTTTTCAACTAGTCTCCAGTCATGATTTGAATTTGTCTTTTGATTTAATAGTTTAATTTTTTTAATATTATAACAGTCATGTGTCTTGTTTTATCTTATCATTGTTGATTCTTTTCTATAGATTGCACTGATGATGGCTACTGTGATAATTGAAAGTTAATTAATAAAGAAGAATAAGTGTCAAGATGTTCATTGTGGTGCTTGTCCAGTCTTTGAACCTTACAAACTAGGCACTTGTTTGTTTGTAATATTACCATACAAATAATTACATTATAAACATAATATGGTACTAGATATAAAAGTAGTAACCTTAAACAGGAAGTCAATCCTGTCGATGGGTATGGCATGTTTCCTGGCATAGTTCTGACGTATGCCCGTGAGGAAGGAGTAGGGGAAGAACAGCCCAGAAAACCAGAATACGTCGGGGATTTTCTCGTCCGCCCACCGCTGGAAGAACTTTAGCCTGAAGGAATGCATAATAAGGTAGTAAGACAAACAAGCACAGCATAGGCCTCTTGAGTGAGTTCTTTATCATATTATTATATCAGTCTACTCAAAATTTATGCTTAGTAGACCTGAATCCCATATAATGCCAACTATATGAAACATTATTCTAACACTTTTATGAGCTTCACATATACTTTGTCAAGCATCTTTAAGTTAGCTTGAAAAGTATACAGTGGTCCCTCGGTTAACGAGCGCCTCGGTTAACGAGATTTCGGTTAACGAGTTACCTTCCATAAGATTCTTAACTTCGGTTAACGAGCAATCCCTCGATTAACGAGTATCTTACGAGCCGACCTCCACATGTTTTAGCTTGCATTTGGCGGTCCACCAGCTGTAGTATTAGTCCGCCAATACAGTAATCGGTTCTAGGGCTCAAATTCCTTACCCTTTTAGTAAATATCAAGAAGTTTATACTATTAAATAATTTTAAAAGTTTAATATTAATTTTTTTTAGTTATATAAACAATTATTGAACATAATTGAAGGTAGGGTCACTAGTTTGTGGCACGCCATCCAGCCTGCCAACACAGCATACAGGCGTCAGTCTGTGTCTTTTCAGTGGAGGTAACATCTTGCTTGAGAGACTCTTCAACTAAACGCTTTTTTTCTGTGTTTACAGGCAAATTGTTGGTCATTTTGAAATTTATTTTACATATTGACAATATATGATGCAGTGCAGTGTTGATTTAAAGAAAATAATCTTGAATTACACCAAGAGAACTAAAATTTTATGGGTGAAATGGCGCCATGGGGTGACTTCTCTTCCACCCCAATTCCTTCTCTTCTCCCTTCTCCTCCACCCCCATTCTAATTCCCATCATCATCATCATCATCATCATCATCACGAGCCTTCTACATACACACCTCAAAGTAAGTGTACTTTTCTACCTTTTTTGTTGAATTTAGGTAATTTTCGGTGAGCTGGAACCAATTACCCAAAAACCCATTGAAACAATGGTTTCGGTTAACGAGCAACCTTCTAGAACGGATTGTGCTCGTTAACCGAGGGACCACTGTACAGTAATACCCTGGTTTACGCAGTTCTCGTTTACGCGTTTCCACATTTACGTGGTACCCCGCCAGAACCGGAATGCGGCGCGGGCAGGGTGCGCACAAGGTCGCCCAGTCATCAAAACATTACCGAGTTCTTCACCCGCCACCCACCACAGCCGGCCCAAGTCAGTGATAGTGAGGATATGGACTTTGAGGGGTTTGACAAAGAGGCCCTGCAAGCCTCTGTGGTGGATAGTGATATAATTGATGCAAGTGATACAGGTGAGGGCCAATAATCTGCCCTCTGCCTCGGAACCAACCCCCCATCCCCGTGTGCCCAGCCATCTTTTCTACTAATGTAAGTGTTAAAAACCTAATATTATTGATATTTCTCTTAATTGTGTGCATACCATCATAAAATTAAGATGTTATATTTACTACAACGTAGGTATTGTGTCTGAAAAAGTGTAGTTTGGGAGTCGGCCCGGTCTCTATTTCAATTAATCCCATATGTTATGTTGTTCACTTTACGCGTTTCTCGTTTTACGTGCTACTCCGCGGGTTCAATTGACCGCGTAAATCGGGGTATTACTGTATTTAAAAGTATCTACAATTTATGTCAGTAAATTGTACCTGTAGTCTGATACTGTGCAAGTATCCCTCATTTAAAAGTGTGTGTGTGTGTGTGCACACAGGGTGGTGTAATGCATCTAGTGTGACAGCATTATATTAGTGTTAAGGTGCAAGCACTGTTTGCTACCTCTCGCTTTCAGCTGCCGCCGCTGGCTACCTCTGATGACGAACAAAGAAGCAACCTTCTGTAAGTCTTCCCCTACCAGTACACAGCCTCTTCACCATCAAAACTCCTGCTGTGCCTCCTCGTGGCAACACATGATAACTAGGTGCCTCGTGGGGCCAGGCTAGACCAGCAGGGGATCTCGGAGCAGCAGTGGGCCCCAGAGGGACAGCACATAGACCGACAGGCATGTGGACATGTCCTGGTGCCTACTAACCACTGCCTTGCAGATTAACCTTGGTAGGTATAAGACTACGGGTGTAAACCCTAAGCGAAAAATCTGAAGCGGAGACATGCTTACAGAACTCCAGTAAGACCCCAATGGCAGTGTAGGTGGAAGAGATAACCAACAAGGGAACCCAATGACTACACCAGCAGATGAAGGCAATGCAAAATGGACAGGCTAATAAGGCAAAACCCAACAAACTGGGCTATTGGCAGTCCATTGCAACTCTCCTCCCCATTCGTTGCAACTACCTGCACCACTGGACCAGGACAAGGGAGAGCCATGGTGTGTGGTTGCAGTCTGTGCTCTTGCCTCACCACATAAATCAACTCATGCACAGCCATCACTTACTACTACTCATCATACTCGATTCTGAGAGACAGCAAAGTAGGTGGGGTTGCATTCCTGAAAAATCTAACATTAAAAAAAAATTATTACTAAATGAGGATAACATCGAAGCATGGAGGACAAGCAACAGGTTTAAATGTCATGGCAGTAAACAGCGAGGACTGAACTCCCTAATAATAATAAATGAGTTCATTACGAATAGTTTCAAAGTTAAACGACGGATTTATTAACACAAAAATTCAAATTGCATACATGTACTGTACTACAACATCTTTTAAGATAAACAATAAAGTTGATAAATAGCATATTATAAAACAAAAGCACATATTTTATGTAAAAAAAAACCCAGCTCCTTCCACACTCAAACCAGCTGAGCACTCACTCAGTTGACTTAGAGATGTGTGCGTGCCTGCTGCACTGTGTGTATGCTGTGACATCACTGCCCACACATACAAACCCATGCTCTTCATTTTTCTTATTACATAATTTTATATGATATTTTCTTTATTTCTAAGCCACACTAGAGTATTGTAATGATTTTTTCACAACTAATATAGTTTCGATTACATGTAACAATGGAAACATGATATCTCACAGGCCACCTCATCTCCAGCTTTTCCCACTTTCACAGCAAGTTGAGCTAAACCGAATTTTGATTGTCCTCAACTACCATGAGAGAATGGAGCGCCTGAACTTGCCTAGCTTATACAGGTTATACCTCTCTAGTCTGGCAACCTCGGGATCTGACTGGTGCTGGACCATGGAAATTCACCCTTTTCCTGCATAGATAGTGACTTGTGCTTATGCTTGGAAGCACTAGTACCACTTTCTCTGCATCATGGTCTCTTTGAAGACATATTGAAGGGTTAAATGTCGTATAGTAGCTTCTCAAATTTCGCGAGTTTTTAATTCTTAACGTATTTTATTGGAACACACAAAAAATAAATAAATAAAAATTTTGACGGCGGAAACTTGAATTTCGACGGGTTTGAACGGCCCGCCAACGTGCAGACGACGTGCATAATCGTGTAAACAGCGTCATTCCTCTTATGTACAAAAGATTCATTATTGTTCATGACTGAATGTCTTTTTTATTGAATTAATGTTACGTGTGCAAATTGAGCAATACAATTCATTAATAATATGTAGAATATTAAAACACATGAGGAAATGACACAGCATTGTTTTCGTTGATTACAAAACCAGTGACTGACTGGTTCTACATATAAAACTGAAGAAAATAAGACTTTGGTTGTACCTGTAGTAAAATTAATATGGTTGTTTTAAGTAATGTTATTTAATGTTAATAAATGGAACAATAGAAGTAGCTAACGATAATGGTAAAGAAAAAAGAGAGATCGCGTATGTAGGTGCGCATGCGCACACGTGAAAACATATCGTCATTACTTTACATAAGAATATGAAAGCAACACTTATTTACTGTTCATATATATTTTAATAAATGTTTCTGAATTTGCTTTTATTGAATTAATGTTTGTGTGTGCAAAATTAACAATTCAATTTGTTAATAATACGTGGAATATTAGAGGAGACGAGACGGCTGCCGGCATTGTTTATGTTACAGCTTACAAAACCAGTGACTGATTGGTTCTACATATAAAACTGAAGAAAATAAGACCCTGAGTTTAGCTGTAGTAAAATGAATGTAAAAAAATTAATATGGTTGTTTGAAGTACCTGTAATGTTATTTAATGTTAATAAATGGAACAATATAAGTAGCTAACCATTAATGGTAAAAAAAAAGTGAGACTGCGCGCATGTAAGTGCGCACATGTGAAAACATATCTCATTACTCTACATAAGAATATGAAAGCAACACTTATTTACTGCTCATATATATTGAAGGGTTAAATGTTGTCCTCTGTATAGACAAGCAGACAGAGAGAGAGAGCAGCCAGATGTAAACAAACCTTAATTTCCCGTGGCTTTGTTTTTTTTTTTTAAGGAGATTAGCCCACCTGTGCATAAGTCACTGACCCACATTGGGGCCTGAGGGGCAAAAATTTAATACTCCTGTAATAATAATAATTCAGATAAAAAAAAAAAAGAAAAAAAAAAAAGAAAGCTGCCTATCTACCTATTGGACAAACTAAAATCGTTCCGGACCACGGGAGTTTCTGGACCACAGAATGCCGGACTAGAGAGGTACAACCTGTACTACAGACGGGTAAGGGGTGACCTAATTGAGGTGTAGTATAAGCATCTCAAGGGGTACTACTCAGTCGAGTGTTCTTACTTGGAGCTGGCAGACGCTCGCCTAACAAGGGGTCACAGCTCAAGACTGAAGAAGCCGCAAGTCCAGAAAACTGTGAGGGCAAACTTTTTCGGAGTGAGAGTTGTGAACTCTTGGAACATTCTACCAGATCACACTCACTGCTGCAATACCTAGCATCTGTGTGCACTTTTTCAAGTAACACTGTGTTCTTGCATACGTGAGAAAGTCTCTGGGCATATTTGTTAGCCTGTGATGTGGGCAGCAAACTTGGGAAATGTTGGGGAGGGACTGGATGGATGTAGTGGTGGTAGGGTTAGTAAACAAAGCATTTTGGAGGGACAGAGGTTGCTGATACAGGCTAATGTGTCTTGAGAGGTTACCATGTGCCATATTTTAAATATATTAATCCTTCTGGACCATTTCAGCTGCTGTGGGAAATTTAAAAAGTCAAATTCATTGATCTACGTAATGGACTGCTCAGAGATGGTCACTCACGTACATGGATCTAGGAATATGACAAGTAAAGGGTTAACTAAAAAACTTTTGTTTCACAACACCTGAGCAGACTCATGCACATATTACAGGTAGATGAACATATACTGTAGAAGGAATAGTAGTCTTCATAATATAATGATGACTAAGTCTACCATACAGTAATTCTATATGTTGAAATGGTTCTACATGCAATGTCTTTTATTTCACACATCTTTCTCGGTTCACACATTACCTCTCTGAGTTCCTTCCTCTTTTCCTCTAGCCTTTCATTCTGGGGGGCCAGTTCATGGTTGGCAGCCTCCAAAGCTTGTTTCTTGGGGGCGACAATCTTTATGACTTGATCATAGACAACCATGGCCCTCACCCATCGGCAGAGGCCCTCACAAGCCATTGATACCATACGTATCTTCTTTGGGTCAAAATCCGGGTGAGAGTAGAACCTGGCAGGAAGTAGAAAGTCCCTAAGTCATCCACTTCAGTACTCACACAGTTTTATGTGTCACTCAAGTCTTCTTTAAAGATAAAAGAGGGATTTTATTTTTTTGTGATTTCTTGTGAAACAATAGTATGTATTTACCTGAGCATAAGATACATATGCATGAATAAGTAAATTAATGGATAAGTACATTTTAAAATGTCTCAACATTTATTTCCTTTACTTTTTGTGAGTTTATAATAGGTTTCAGGGTTAAAGTGGAAGAACAGTCATTTCTAAATGTGACAGTAGGTAGTGTGACTTACACAGTTATTACTGTGTGTGTCATTCTCAAGGCGTCCATATTCAACAGCACTGTTCCAGCAACCAAGATTTTCAACTGTTATTTTACATTTTCATTGGGTGAAGGAAAATATACTGGTATAACAAGAAAATTTTCCAAGATGTAATCCGTCCTGAATAACCATGCACACTCTTGAGTGCAAGCATCAGGTAGCTACATGTTAGTACAGTACTGAGACAGTAGTAATGTTGATAATTTTTTACAGCATTTTATTTGTTCAATAGTATGAGTTTATTCATATCGGTCTGTCTGTCTCGACACCACTCTGATAGCCTCTGTCTTGGTCATACTTAATGGCAAAGATGAATTACCTAATGAATACCATATCACGGAAATAATGTTTGAACTTACTCGTTGCGGACGTGAGTGATAATCTTTGTGGGAATGTTTTCTTTGTCATAGTGCAGCAGGTTCTGGAGGAACTTCATATCCCCCAACAGCTTCTGAGATGGTGCCCAATAGTCCTCAATCATTTTTCCTGAGCCATTAGGGTCTGGCTTCCTCTCTGGCTTGAGGTCCAGCATTACACACACAGCTTCCATTACCTGACAAAGCATAGTATTGAACTGTATAGTGCAGCATTGTTATTTTGGGTATTTTTACAGCTCTAGTAAAACATGAACACAAACATTGCATTAGAGAACTGGGTGATGAGAAACTTTACTGACCTGGGTGATGAAAAACATGAGTTGGATGATGAGAAACACTGCATTACTGAGCTGGGTTAAGTTGTGTTAGGTCAGGTCATCTTAAGTTAGACTATGCTATCTTAAGTTACGTTATGCTAGGTTTGGTTAAAGTGATGTTAGGTTAGGTTAGGATAAAAATTACACAGAAGTCTATGAAGATGACACATGGCTTCACTCTGCCTTGTTGATGGTATTTCTCATCACCCACTAGAACTAATGTAGTGTTTCTCATCACCCACTAGAACTATGTTTCTCATCACCCACTAGAATTGAAGTAGTGTTTCTTATCACCCACTAGAAATATGTTTCTCATCACACACTAGAATTGATGTTATGTTTCTCATAACCCACTAGAATTGAGGCGCTCAGCATTAGAGGGGGGTGAAGTGACACTCTGGCCAAAATGCGTTTTTTGATGGATATCACTATTTTCACCCGTTGGATGTAACGCTCTAGCTAGAATAGAAATATGGTAGAAAGTCCTTCAAAATTAGGGGTGATTTTGCCTCAGGCCTGGAGCTACGTATCTGGCTGTGCGCTCAGTCAAAGAAGGTGGCAACTTCCCGTTCAGAGCGAGAGGAGCGCGAGCCAATGACAGCGCGCCTCCCTCGGACCATACCCCTGAGGTAGCCAATCACAATGGATTTCCCCTTGCTATGTCACAGCTCCTCGGCCAATCCGCGCGCCCAGATGCTGCCTCCTTGTTAGTTTTGGTGCATTGTATAGCATAAGGAGGTTCAGTATACTTTCTATGGCTATTTTTGATAACTTTTCGGCGTAACAATGATGTTATTCATCCACGGGTGTGTAAAATGCTGTGCAATATCTGCCCGATATTGGAGCAAGAGTTGAGTGAGGCCAGGCCTTCTGGTATAGGTTCAGGAGCACATTATTCCTGAACGTGTGTTTAGTGATGACAGTGCTCACGTGGACATCCTAGGAATGCTTGGTGATAGTGATAGTGATTTTGGTATACCGTACTCATCATACAAAAAGTGACTGCTATGCATCACAAGACCTTCTTGCAGACTATGTTCCGGTACAGAGTTACGTGACATGCACTGACAGCAGTAATGATGATGAAAGTGAAGATGAAAATGATGAAAGTGAGTCTAATGGTAACAGAGTGACACTAATGTATCACAACAAGAACATACAGACTGTGAGGAGGTAGAAATGGACAGTGACGAGGCATGCATTGACCTTGATAGTGATGAAAGTGAGCCTGAACCAACGAATGCTAATGAAAGTGAGCCCATAACTCAATCTTATAATGAAACTGAACTGTTGCCGGCATCAAAAATCAATGATTTAGTTCATGAAGAATCTGTGTGGCGATTTTTAGAGAGGGCAGAAAAAGACTTTGATCAGTACATGATTGATTATGAAGAGGCCATTTAAGTTAAACGCACTCCTCAGGATTTACGTAACTTCAAGTTACTACGATATTCAGGGATAATAAAACGAAGGAACTAAACAAAGTAAGATTGTAATACTATTATCAGAATACTCTCTTAACCAAAGAATATGCAAACTTTCTAAGCCTTTGTATTCGTCTGTTAATTACGTTGGGGGGGGGTTCATGGTAGGGGGTGGGATGAGTGTAGTGGTGTTTCCTCATTATTACACACTATTAAACTTAACAATATTATAAATCTTTGGCTAATAATAGGGACGGAAAGATAAATACTAATAGGCAAATGAGTTTTTATTATTATTTTTGGGGGGGGGGGGTGGTAAAACGAGTGCTGTTTTTGGTTATCATTAACTTGTTTTACAGTATTAACCCACAAATATTAATAAAAAAAAATTGCAGAAAAATGCGATTATTGTTGGTTTGAAGATCAAACAACTCTACATCACGGGTTATTTTCATTCAACTCGCAATAAATTAATAACTATTCACTGTACTAATTTCCAGTTGTCACAGTTCGCTAGGAGAGGGATTAAGCTGCACGATAAAAAAAGAACCCTCTAGCTTAAAAAAAAAGTTATGGTTGTTTGAACCTCGAAAACTTTCAACGTGTTTTTCTCAGCTTTTTGAATTTGGAGCTTCACCCCCTTCTAATGCAGAGTGCGTCAACTGATGTTGTATTTCTCAAAAAGTTTCACTAATGATTCGAAATACAAAAAACAACACAGGGACAAAACTTTTCATATATCTTTAGGAGGGTGTGAGGATCACAGGGTGTGTTAGGAGCACAAAGTGACTTAAGGTCAACAGCTAGAGGATATTAAGGCAAAGTGAAGGTTTGGGGACAGTAGAGTCAGAGTGGAAGATTAGGTAAAACAACAGTGGAGACTTAGGTAGAGTCAGAGTGGAGGTTAAGGTGAGCACTCTTCATAACCAATGTCATCATTTGGTAGGTTATACTCACCAGCTTGACTCCTGAGGGCGGGTTCTTCATGGCCTTGACGACGCGTATGTCATCTTGTTTGAGGGTGTTGAGGGCGTCTGTGGCAGCATTGAGAGCTGGTACTGCCTTGGCGAGCTCCTTTTCACAGTCGTCTTTTATGGCCTGTGCATCGGCAAACTTCTTATTGGCCACCGCCTCGTCTGCCGCCACCAACTGAGAACAAATTTGTTATCAACAACCAAGAAATGAGATATGTTATCACTTTCATCTTTTTTTTTTTACCAAGAGAGGCAGAGTTAACATTAGAAGGGAACATAAAACACGAACACAAAAACAGCAATAACTAGCAAGGTGTTCATGATAGTAACAAGAACCTTGCCAATGACAATATTTTACATCAAGATCACAAAACACTGACTGAATTGTGACTACAACATTGGTTTCATTGTGGTATCTTCAACAACCTTCCATGTTTCACTTATGTTTGTTCTTCTGGGTTTGGGGAATTATACTTGTGCTAGCCACCCTATCTCCCTCGCCAACACTTCCCTCCCTTCCCCCTCCATCAGTTCCCTTTCCCATCTCCCCTCCCCCCACCAGACCCCCATTCCTGTCGATAAATCTACACTCCATACTGTATTATTAAACAGATTTCGTGAATTAGATCCCATGCAACATTTGAATATACAGGGTATATATTTTTTCAACCTCGCTAAAATTGGAGGTTTGTATCGTCAATGGACAGCATTTGTTAATAACCAACCAAATGTTACTGGGTTAACCTGAGCTTGGAGGGAAAATAATGTCACTTAGTCTGTATGTGATGATTTTTTTTTCCTCGATAAGTTGTTCTAAGGTTAATATTTGGTGATGATAATAAATGTTTGCGTAAATTGGCGGTGGTTTAGGTTTTTGTTTTCTGTTGTCTTTTTTTTATTCTTTATCATGTAAGTTATTATTTTTCATCTTTTATTTTTGGTGAATTCAGTTTGAAATTTTATATAAATATTAATTTTTTTTATGTAAATTACCATTTGATATGTTCAGTAATTTATATAAATTCTTATGATATTCGTTATATAAATTAAGTGATTTTATAGATAATTTTGTGTAGAATGTTATTTTGTATGTTCGTTATTCTATATAAACTGCCATTTGTATAATTTAGTATGTGGGGTTTATTTCAGTGAGCCGCTGCAGCTTGTTCATAATCATTTCATTTGTACCAAAACAACATTATAGGACCGGTGATGTCCCCAGGGCAACATTATCACAGTACCAAAATTAAGTGATAAACCTGGTTCAAAATACTCTATAGTATAAGAAACACACACAGGTAAACAGAACACGTAACCTTATTAATCACCCAGGTGTATCGAGGAAGTTATACTGTAATAAGGTTGTGTGCAGAAACTTGTTAATTGTATGGAAAGTTTTTGTTTTTCTATTTGCTGATCAAGGACTTGTATTGGTATTACACAGTTAAATTTGGTAAAGAGCATTTAACCGTATACGCTCATAATGATTAGTCACATTGGTTCTCAAATACACACACTCTCTCTCTCTTGGACGTACGTGTGTCTGTGTATGCATGATTATCTTTAAAAAATGATGTCCTTCCACAAACGATAATAAATGACTCCCGTATATGACCCTTTGAACAAGACACGCTGCTGTGTAACTTCTTAATAATAACCCGCTCCACACTTTATATTCACCTCCCCCCCCCTCCTCTCCTCATCTGTTTTCCTAACCCTCATCTTGTCCAAAGTTGGGTTTCCTAAGGACACATTTTCGTACATTTTAACTCATCCCATGGAGGACGGAACACCTCCCAGGTTCGCCACGTCTCTCTCTGCCAGCCCCTAGATCTGTACCGGGCGTCTCACGGGCGACTGGACTTAAGCATGCCCATAGTGATGGAGTGATAGCTGCTGTTTGGTCGGTGTTTGTCAGGTATTGGTTGTATATGTGATGAATAATAGCTGTGGTTATTATTATTATACTTTCTTTTTAGTTGTGGGAGGGATAAGTGTGTTAGGTCGCTTGATTTTGGTCTCAACTTTGTCAGTGACGTTACGTGGACTCGGGGGGGGGGGTCGCTTGCTTAATTATACACTACCTGCAAGCACCCAAAAATGTAGCTTATTACAACGCTAAGTGCTCGTTAACTTAATGCTGGAGCTGAAAGAGAAATACGACATTAATATTGAAGGTGTTAAAGATTAGGACGATAATTTGCTTTGGGGTGGAATTGGGGAGTGAAGTCGATATTAATAATAATTATAATGATAAAAAATGCGCTACTATGACTACTACTACTACTACTAATAATAATAATAATAATAATCATCATCATCTCTGGGTATAGTAATGGTAATAATAGTGTGTAATTAATCACAAGAATTAGTTACATATAGCGATGAGTTCGTTTGTAATTATATAGACCCTTTAACACACAAACAAATGGTAGTTGAAATTGTGTGCACAAAGAGGAGGTCCGTGCCTGAGTACACCACACTACCGCGGCACTGTACGTGCTGACAGATCACAACTGATATTTACATTTAAATGAACTTTGCATAAAAATACTGAATGGGAACCTGACATGCACGTCCAGCCATTGTTGTTGTGACGTGATTTATGTGGATTATTTTTCAATGTTGTTAAAGCGTTTATTTATCTACAGTGTGCGGGGGGGGGGAGGAGGGGGTCACTCCTTGTATGTTTGTTTGGAATTAAATTATCATAAGACGGATTTCAACGGCTAACATCAAAGTTAGATTATAGGTTAGATTATATATTCGTCGATATTTAATATAATTTTGAAGAAGGTTGCAATAAAGTGAACTGGATAGATGTAATAAAACTTGGTAGGTGGGTGTAATGCTGCTGAATTAAGAAGTGATAAAGGCTATGTGAGTATATATGAAAGGCTCTAGGTCACGGCTCTAGGTCACGGGACTAGGTTTACGGTTTTAGTTCACGGCTCTAGGTCACGGCTCTAGGTCACGGGACTAGGTTTCCGGTTCTAGTTCACGGCTCTAGGTCACGGGGCTAGGTTTACGGTTCTAGTTCACGGCTCTAGGTCACGGCTCTAGGTCACGGTTCTAGTTCACGGGACTAGGTTCACGGCTCTAGGTCACAGCTGTAGGTCCTGGCTCAAGGTCACGGTTCTAGGTTACGGGACTAGGTCACGGCACGGCTCTAGGTCACGGCTAAAGGTCACGGCTCTGTCACGGTTCTAGGTCACGGCTCTTAAATAACAGCTATAGGACACGATGCAAAGTCACGGCTCTAGGTCACGGGACTAGGTTTACGGTTCTAGTTCACGGCTCTAGGTCACGGCTCTAGGTCACGGCTCTAGGTCACGGCTAAAGGTCACGGCTCTCTCACGGTTCTAGGTCACGATGCAAAGTCACGGCTCTAGGTCATGGCTGTCACGACTCAGGGTCACGGCTGTCACGGATATATGTCACGGATCTTGGTCACGGCTCTAGGACACAGCCCTAGGTCACGGTTCAAGGTCACGGCTCTAGGTCACGGGTTTAGGTCACGGATCTAGGTCACAGTTCAAGGTCACGACTCTGTCACAGTTCAAGGTCAAAGTTCTAGATCAAAACTCTACGTCACGGCTCTAGGTCACGGCTCTAGGTCACGGTTCAAGGTCACGGTTCTAGGTCACGGCTCTAGGTCACGGCTCTAGGTAACGGATCTAGGTCACAGCTCCAGGTCACGACTCTGTCACGGTTCAAGGTCAAAGTTCTAGATCAAAACTCTAGGTCACTGCTCTAGGTCACTGCTCTAGGTCACGGCTCAAGGTCACGGTTCAAGGCAAGGCTCTAGGTCACGGCTCTTGGTCACGGCTCTAGGTCACGGCTCTAGGTCAAAGACTTTCAACGAAATACCTCATTATCGGGTGGACAGTTTAATTTAACTTTGCCAAAAAATTGGATAATGTCTCCTCATAACCC